AGAATGTCACATCATCTAGATTTGTCTATTTCCAATGGTTGGATTTAAGTTAAATATTTTAGCAAGACTACTACATAGGTGATGTTCTGTATTTCTTACTTCCTCATATCAGCAGGCACATGTCAATTTGTCCCATTATGGGTGATGCTAAATTTTGTCACTTAGATTAAGAAGGTTTCCTCCAGACCTCTTCACTGTAAAGGTATCTCTTCTCCTTTTTACTTGTCATCCATAAAGTGATCTTTTGATATCCCTCCCAATACTTTTAAGCATACCACAATTATAGATCTTTAATTATAAAACACTAAATGTTAAAAGTGATGAGAAGCTCCATAATGAAAACAAACACACAAAAATGTATTCATGAATCATTCCACTTAAGGAAAAAAAAAGAAAAAGGGGGCTGCATGGAAATAAAGCAATGTGACCACAGGGGAACCGACTCTGTTGACAGAATATACTTACATTTTATTCCCTTTCACTCCCTGTTGCAGCTTGGAATCTAGGAGATCTTTGACATGACAGCACTCAATGACCTTCAGAAAATCACTTATAGCATCAATGAAAATTCCAGCATTAAATAGGCAAAATGATGGAAAAAGAGAATAGGCGATGGGTTGTGGTAGGGCTGGGGACGTTAATTCAAGAGAGTGAAGTTCTTTTAGGGTGGTGCTTGGCAGTGCTATTTCCAGCCAAATGGAACTACAGTAAAAATCTGATGGGCAGCAAGAGAGGACTCATCCATCTTTCTTGGGTCAGACCCTCCTGTTGCAAACACACTGATGTGTAGCCTTTCTTCTGTCCTCTCCAGGCAGACTTATGGACTTCTACACTCACAGAGTGCCTCAGGCAGACCCAACGCAGTGCTGACATCTGCACTGACATCCTTTACATGTCTGCCTCTCTCTTGTTCTTCCCAGGAACTGGTGAATTCGGTGAGGACACAGCCTCTGCATCTGAGTGTCTCTAACACCCAGCACAGCAGCAGGCATGGAGAACGAGCTGGGGAAATGTTTGATGTTTAAAGTGTGGAACAGTGAACAACAGTTCTGTTAACGCATCCTTTGTTTCCTGCTTTTACCTAGCCAGTAAGAGGTAGAGCTGGTATTCAAACCAACACATTCTGGCTTTGGAGCCCAAATTCTTAGATACTGTTCATGAAACAGTTCCCATAGCATTTGATCTCAACATGCAAGGGCTCTCATTACATAAGATAAAGTCCCTAGCCTTTAGTTAGGCATTAAAAGTCCTCTCCACATTGGTCCCAACCTAATTCCCCAACCTCATTTCCCAATATTTATTCCTTCCCACATAGGCGCTTCACTCCAATGACTTTATTCCCTAATGTTAAAAGTCCCCTCATTAGAAATGACATCACTTCTTTACTATTATCCCACTTCCAAATCCCTATTAGCATACTTTTAAAGACGTAACTCAAAGGCTAACTACTCCATAAACACTTTTCCATTCCTGCCTCAGGATGTCCTCTCTCCTTTTTCTGAATTCTCAAAGAACTTTGGCTGAACTTCAATTAAGACACTTCTCATTTTCCGTCTTGTGTTATGATGAAACCCCATAACTCTGCACACATCCCCTTAATTAGACTATAAGTACTTTTAACGGTAAGACCCATGTCTGTCTATCTCCATATGCCTCCAACACCTAGCAGAGTAGCCTGCACGTAAGAGGCACTTGGTGGATGTTTTCACATAAAGTAAATATTCCTTGAATAATCCTGGCCTCAACTCAAGTTTTGTTCATTCTACCTACTTAGAAGAGAATACCCTTCAATTATTTTCCATCTATCCAAAGCTGATCTCCTCTATAAAACCTTTTCTAAATATCCAGTCTAAACTTTTGGAGGTGATGGATATGTTTATTACCTGGATTGTGATGATGGCAATACAAGTGTATACATCTGTCTAAACCTACCAAATTGTATCCATTATAATTATATGCAGTTTTTTGTATACCTCAATAAAGCTTGGGAAAAAGCTTTTAGAAGAAAGAAAAATGCATAGACCTGGAGTCTAGATTCTAATCCAGTCCTAAAATTTATTAGCTGTTGATATTGGGCAGATTACTTAACATTTCTGTGCCTCGATTTCCTAATCTTATTTTTCTTTTTATTTTCGGATGTACATCATATTTCGAATTCTGTGTACATTACATCATGTTCACCACCCGAACACTAATTATAGTCCATCTCCTCACAAGTGAACCTAATCGCCCCTTTTGCCCTCCCCCGCCCCTTCCCCTATGGTAACCACCAGTCCAGTCTCCAATGCTATGTGTTTGTTTGTCATTTTTATCTTCTACTTATGATTGAGATCATATGGCATCTGACTTTCTCCCTCTGACTTATTTCACTCAGCTAGATTTCCTAATCTTAAATAATAATAGCATTTATTTCACAGTGTTATATTTTTTCTGTAAGGATGAAATGAGTTAATTCCTATAAAGCATATAAAATAGTACTTCCATATCATAAACACTCAATAAAAGTTAATCATTATTCCACATTCTCTGGTTCTCTCTCATGGTTTATAATCCTCATTTGGTAATGATTATTTACCAGTTGGTGATATGTTCTATTTTTGCTATATTTAAATTGTCTTATTAGTGGATTTTTAATGGGCATATCTTGTTTTCTTAAACAAAAGATGAGATAACTTTGATTATTGAGCATATTCTACATGCCCAGAACTTGGCTAAGTGCTTTCTATAAATATTTCATTCAATACTCACAATAACAGTATAAGCTAGCTATTATTTCCATATTATAGATGGAGCAAAACAAAAACAGATTTAGAGAGAGGGAGCAATTTGTTCAAGTCGTCTAAGTTAGTAAGTAGTAGAGCTAGGACAATACTTGAAGGCAAAAATAATACTCAATTTGTATCTGTTTCTGAGAATGCCTAATATACATGCATTAACACAATTATTATCTATGTTCAATTTTCTTTATTGCTATGCATTTTGTTGCTATGATATATGAAGTATATATCCTTGGTATGTTAGCTTTTCTTTTGTTTTGCAGGGAAGATTGGCCCCGAGCTAACACCTGTTGCCAATCCTCCTCTTTTTACTTGAGGAAGATTGGCCTTGAGCTAAAATCTGTGCCAATCTTCCTCTATTTTGTATGTAGGTTGCTGCCATAGCATGGCTTGATGAGTGGTATAGGTCCATGCCTGGGATCTGAATCTGCAAACCCCAGGCTGCCGAAGTGGATCATGCTGAACTTAACCACTTATGCCACTGGGCGGGCGCCTAGCTTTTCATTTTTAATTTATTTTAATATGGAGAACTTATTTTTCACTTTTAACATGCTTTTTAAAAAAAGTTTATCTTAGACTCCAACATAAACTCCTCTGCTACGTCAATGACAAGAGCATGATATACTTTTAGAACATTCTAATATTAACTAGGACTTTTTTTTTTTTTTTTTTTTTACTATTTTCCATGCTTTGTGCTAATCTCCATCAGCTTATGTTTGGTTTTCAGCTTTGTTATTCTTCTTTGGATTAATGCTGTTCCTACAGTGAACTTACTAGTGTTGAAAGAAAGGCTAGAGAAGACTTGCTCCACACCTTTGATTTACCAAGGTGGGAAATGGGCTCAGGCAGATGGAGAACATGCCAATATTGCTTAGCCAGCAAGGGGCAGAGAAGGGACCAGAACCAGAAGACTTTATTCCAACTATTGTGTTCTTTTAGCTATGCTACACTCCTCCTGCATACAAATAAATGCAATATTTTTCATATCCTAACCCTGTCCATCTATGGTGTGGCTTTGGACCAGTGCCCTCAGTTTACTTGCCATTATATATTCTCCAATAGGAAGCAGGGGGGAAGACATGAAAATAGGAAATATTTGAAGAAGTAAAAGCCCTGTGCAATTTTTCTACCTCTGTGCCTTTGCTCCCACTGCTCCCTAGAGGTAATGTCCTTTCTCTACATGTCCTTAAAGCAGTGCCACTCAAAATATGGTCCACAGATGGGTGTCTGACTAAGGAAGGTTTATCACCTTGTGATGAAACAGCACAGAAACAGAGAGTGAGTACTTAGAAAATATTATAGCAATTTAATAGAGCAATTTATTCCTGCTAAATCTAATAATGGTAAAACTTGGTGTTCCATTTTGTATTCTTTTTATTTCATTTTCTTAGTAAGTAATTTTAATTGTACTCTATAAAAATATTGGTCTCCAACAGATTGGAGAGAAGACAGCCTTTCATCACAGAAAATTTGAGAGGCCCTGCTTTACAGGGTCCAGGTTCAAGCGCCATCAATTCTTCTGTAAAGCATTCCTCATGTTCCTGATGAACAGAGCTGTTAAATTTTATAAAGTTTGACCTCAGCCTCTCGTATGCCTCTTATAACTTTCTACTTAGACTAGTAATTATTTGTGTGTTTTTCTTCTCTCTTCCGAATAATTACAACCTTCCTGAGGACCGGTTATATATCTGTAACACTTCATAATTGGCATATAATTCATAACTCACGTTACACTAATGGATGAGATGGATTAACTGCTCATAATTAGTCACAGGTTTGGAGAGAAGTCCAAAAAAATAGAGAGGACATCTTTTCCTGAACTCGGAGAGGGAAAGAATTGAGAGTACAGAGTTTAGACCTTACCCAATTCCACATTTTGTATACGAATATTTACATTAGTAAGAAACTTGAACATATGCAGACACCATCTTTCTCCCTAATGAGAAGCTAATAAATTGTCAAAAATTAAGTTTTAAAATCAAACTTGTATCTCAAGAAACACAAAAGTACTCCTGAGATTTCAGGACAAGCTAAACAGATTCCACATTTACGACAGTCTCACAAAGCAATTTCCAGAACACTAAGTTACGTGTGCATGCATACCAAACTCCGATGTACCCAGACTCAAATCCTTTACCAGTGGAGCTGACAATACTCCTAATTACTAATTAGGGAAAACAGAACAAGACACTGACTTCAGAAGTCGGCTCTAGACCCACTCACCGAAGTATTCATCAGAAGGTGGATTTTCCATGTCGTACAGCATCTTCTTGGTCAGGTGCTCGAGCTCATCCTCAGGGCGGAATGAGGAGGGAGCAGCCGGAGGCCCCAGTGATCCTGTTTGTCCACCCTGAAAGGCAGAAGATGCATAGTCTTTTAAATGCAATCTAGACATCAACGAAGGCAATCAAGTGGTGTTCACAGTGTAGAGGAAAAAGCACTGGACGTGGGCGGCTATTAGGAATCCCACGTTTTAGAATCAGTTTTATCAGTTATCCAGGGTCTACCTTGGAGCCACCATTTTATTCCCCTGACTTATGTAGATGAGTCATATACCAGGCTTTAGAAATCAATGTTTACAACAGTAGGACGCCATTTCATTCATCAATTGCTAAGTAGTCACTATACACCAGTTGTATATTTACACAAAAGAAAAATAAATAGAGCCTCCCCCCTTATGGAGCTTGCAGTCAAGTGAGAGATACAGGCACACTAATAATTAAAGATAAAGCAACTGTAGCAAATGCACAATCAACGGGTGCAAATGGGACTTCTCTTGGAGCCTGAGAGGAAGAATTCAACAGGAGAGGCGGCGGCACAGATGAGGCCTTATTCAGCTAAAGGAGAGGAAACATGTACACTGAGGTTTCTCACATTCAGGTGAGGAAAAAGCCAGGTAGTATAAGCCAGGTGGCAGTTGTGTATTTCTGGAGCATGCACATAGTTTGAGATAGGAAATAGGAATCTTATCAGGTACAGGGATCCAGAAAGTGAAGGGCCTTGTGATCCGGTTAAGGAGGCTGAGTAATTTTGTTTCCCCCAGCACTGCAAACAGCCTGATATCATATGGGGGAGGTAAATCAGCAGCATTGACACTGGGTTGGTGTTTAAATAGGTGAGTGACCCAGAAATATTCTGGCAATACAAAGAAACTGAGTGTCAGGTGAAAGAGCACGTGACATGATCAACCAAGAATCCAAAGTACAGAGAGAAAGAAGAAAGGCCAGATGCCAGATGTAAGATAGCATGGCGCTATGTAAATAAAAGGGACTTTATTATATTTTTCTTTGCGTAGACTATAAACTTGACTATTTCCAATATCACACCCCAACATCTATAATTAAAATGTTAAAAATAGAAAGACTGCTACAAAAGTTTTAGAAACAATGATGATGTCGACTATGGCTAATGGGAAGAGATGAGATTCCTTGATCTTTACGTGTTCTTAAAATCGTTGACCAAGAGTTTCTCCTTTCATGAATAGTTTATAAAGAATTGCTTCAACAAAACTTGAAGTTGCATATTCATTCACCTGTTATCTTCACTATACCAAATAAGTTCTTGGGTGTTAAAATGCTATAAAGTACCAATGTCTCATTCTTACTACCAACATTTATTTCAACAACTCCAAGATGGGTATTAATTATTTGTGTGATGTCTATGGCATGAAATGCCTTCTAAACATAAGCAAAATTGTTGACTGGTATCTATTTGGCCTCTTCTCTATAATTATTTTCCATTTTAGAAATGTACGGAAAGTTGGAGGACAGACATGCAAAAGGCTGAAAAGCCCACAAATGTTTTATGTTGATCACTAATCTTACCCCTGGGATTTTATTTCATTGTTGGACAATTTGGATTGGGGACAGGAAAGCAGTGAATAAATCATGGCATGTGGCAGGAGACAGAGACAAAAAATAGAGCTGCATGCTGGGACCTGAAGAATCATTACCTCAATCTGCTCATTGTGAGATGAGGAAATAGACACTCAAAAAGATTAGGGCAGAGCTAGTTATGATAAAGCCAGGACATGAGCCCTTCCTAGAATCACTCCTTTATTCAATAAACATTAAATGTTAAACTTAGGGCCTCCTCTAAACTGCAAATAATGCCTGCCTTATAGGGTTGGTGTGAGGGTTAAAGGAACTCTTGAATCATTCATTTATTCTTTCGCTTATCAGTTTCTCCGCTCATTCTTGCAGTGTCTATTTTGTGTAGCCTCTGCATGCATCAAGGAGGGACACAAAGATGTATTAGACACAGTCTTTGCCTTTGAGAGAACTGGAGTCTGGCTTGGGTGAGAAACATGCATAAATGATTAATTATAAAAAGCACAGGATATTGATGGGAGGGGATGTAGACGTGGACATTGGAGGAGTGATTTGCCAGTATTATTAAAGCTTAAACTGCACATATGCTATCTGCTTCTGGGAAAATTTTACAGAAATACTAATAAAAGTTGCTCTGATGCTGAAAGCTATGCCAGTGGTATTTCAAATACCAGGAGGGTCACCCATGGTGGACAGGTTTCAGCAGAGCTTCCAGACTAGACAGACTAGGAAGAAGGAACTAGTCACTCACTTCTGAAAAAATTGGCCATGAAAACCCTATGAATAGCAGCAGAGCATTGTCTGATACAGCGCTGGAGGGTGAGAGGATGGTGCAAAAAGACCAGGCAGGGTTCCACTCTGCTCTACCCAGGGTCCTAGGAGTAGGAATCAACTCGACAGCCCTAACAACAAACTCATAAAATTATATGACCAAGGCTGGTCAGGTCACAGGAACTATATTTGAGAGAAGGAGGAATGAAAAGGGATAATAAACTATCCATCTGTGGGTAAGGCATCACCTAAATAGACAATGATAGATACCTAAAATGGAATATGAACAGGTCATAAAAGAGTACACGGTAGGGGCCGGCCTGGTGGTGTAGCGGTTAAGTTAGTGTGTTCTGCTTAGGTGGTCTGGGGTTTGCAGATTCGGATCCTGGGTGTGGACCTAGCATCGCTCGTCAAGCCACACTGTGATGGCATCCCACATAAAATAGATAAAGATTGCCACAGATGTTAGCTCAGCGACAGTCTCCCTCAAGCAAAAAGGGGAGGATTGGCAACAGATGTTAGCTCAGGGCCAATCTTCTTCACACACACAAAAAAGAGTACAGTGTAAATCCATATGTACAAATATGAAAAAGATGACCTAGCCATGTTATCAAATGAACAGATCCAGTTATAGAATGGGAAATCTAAATGATAGTGTCATTTTCGTAAAGTAAATAGTTTAATTATCCTCAGATCTATACATAGATAGGGAAAAAAAGCCTTAAAGGACACATATTCTAGTGTGAAAGGGGATTATCTCTGGGGTTGGAGTCTTGGAGGGCTTTCGCTTTCTAAATTTGTTTCTGTTACAGTTTGTAATTCTACTTCTGTAATCCATGAAGTACAATGTTTTTAATGTGATGAATTCAAGTGATAAAGATACACTGGATACTAACAAAACCCTAGAGGAGGCTTTTGACCCAGGTCAAGCGGGGGACTCAGAGAGGAGCAAAAGGTCAGAGTTGAGAAGCAGTTAGGGGTGAGTGGGGAAAACGGTAGGTGGTTCTGAGTTTAAGACGGGAGAAGTTGGAGATAGGAAGGGTCAACTGATAACTGCCACACCAGACTGAGGTGCTTAGGGCTTCTCTCTGGGCCTGAGGCTCCAGGCCTTGTGTGAGACCGTGGACAACTCTGAAAATCTGATGAGCTAAACTCCCTTTTGGCAGAGAATGGCACTCATAAAAATGCACATAAAATTTACTCACAATTTCAGGAGATTCACAGACCACAGGAAACATATCCAAAGACCCTCAGATAGGAACACCCAGGCAATAGAAACAGCAGGAGGGATTTTCAGCAGGGGAGTGAGCTAATCAGATTTAGAAAGCTGTCTCTGGAATGGAGAGTGGATGGGACAGCCATGAGACTAGAGTGAATGGCGAATTTATTGTAATGTATTTGTGGCCCACGAGAGTGAAGGGATATCCCACGTGGCAGTGACACGATGGCTGGAGACAGGCTTAACTCTGATACTAACCTGGTGTCCTTCGGTGAGCTCGTGAACCTCTCCTAACTTCAGGCTCCCTCTGTGAAATGGGCTTGCCAGGGCCACCTCACAGTCTTTGTGAGAATTAAAATGAAACAGCTTGCATCTCATGCTATGCAGAGCTTAACTACTTTCAAACCATGCTAACAAAGGGACTCTCTTTGGATCTCTCACTTTGCCTCTGAGGGACGGGATCATCCCAGTTCAGGTGACAAAATTGAAGACAAAGATGGAAAAATGACCTACACCTTTTTTTCTAGGTTTGCAATAGAGAGCTTGAGCTTGAGTTCAAGAGCTTGTGTCCAAATTATGGTGTCATGTGACTCCTAATTCCACGCATTTTTTTCCAACCAAACATTGCTTCCCATAGAGAAAGTGGAGAGAATTATGAAATACTACCTCTGATATTAATGGTGCTGGCTGTTTTAATTTAAATCAACAACCACTAAAGCAAAACCTGTTAATTCCTGCGTCTAGTCTTAGGGTGGATCCTCAGGGAATGGACACAATTTATTATTGTTTACACCCAATATCTGCTTCCCTTTTAACATAAACAGAGGCAGGAAGAAGGCCAAGTCTGTCCTCTACAACTTTAAGCCAGCAATTCACATTCTGCTCTCAGCGCTTACATTTCAAGCAGAGGTTTAACTTCAAAGTACTTATTTTGTTAATATTTCACAGATTTTAAAACAAACACATCATTCCTTTTAATCTCCAAATATTCCTTCCTATTTGCTAGCAATACTGTTTTTGAAACAACACATTTGAAAAAGCTACTTTCTTTTCTTTGAGATTCTAATCTCATATAATGCTAATCTTGGATTCCTGGTATTTCTTATGAGGAAAGAGCCCCAGAGATCATTTCTTCCAGTGTTTCTGAACCTTATCCGGCTACAAACTCCCCTACGTTCCCCCCTCCCCACACCCAGGACATAATATTTAACATCTGGGGAATACATATTGGTAAAAACACAGGTTCCTCAGTTTCCAGTTGTCTCTCACACTGAGGAAGATATAGCCCAGGACTTTCTTCGGGGTTCAAGCCCCATAGATGGTAGCTGACTACTTTTCTCACTGGGATGAAGAAACACCTTTTAATTTCTCTCTCTCAGTAGTGCTTAGGACTGAACACATGCCAAGAAAAATTAACAACTGCATCCATTTCTTTTTTTGTTTTGAGGAAGATTAGCCCTGAGCTAACATCTGCTGCCAATTCTCCTCTTTTTACTGAGGAAGACTGGCCCTGAGCTAACATCTGTGCCC